TTGGCAAGTCTGTATCACTTATATTTATACATAATTTTAGAATTAGTTTTTCAAAATCAACAAAAAAAATCTAATAGGATTTTGACTGTTTGAATCTATAATCTATGAAATTTGGATAGAATTGATATCTATACATTTATTTAGTCTTCCAATCCCTAAATGGGGTATTCCTCTCCACCTATCTAGTTCTTTTTTTAAAAATGTTTAAATATGTATGACTGTTTTGCCTCCATGTATGTAAGTGCACCCATGTCATGCAACATCTGTAGAGGTCAGAAGAGGGCATCAGATCCCCCTGAAACTGGAGTTACGAACTGTTGTCAGCTGCCCAAGTGCCACGTAGCTGTTGGGAAATGAAACCAGGTTCTCTACAAGAACAGCCAGTGCTCTTAACTGCTGAACCATTGCTCCAGCCCCCACTTATCTAGTTCTTTAATTTTCTCAGCAACATTTTATAATTTTTAAGAAATGAGTTCCTCTACATTTTTGTCTGATTTCTCTATAAGTATGGATGGATGGATTTTTTTGGAGGAGGGGGTCTCCCTGCAGCCCCAATTGGCCTGGAACTTGCTATGTAGACCAGCGGGCCTTGATCTCACAGAGATCCACCTGTTTCTGGCTCCCAAGTGCTGGGATTAAAGTGTGCACCACAAAGCCCTTTGAAGTATACATTTCGATGCTACAGTGAATAGTGTTTTTAATTTTAATTTTCAATTATTTGTTGGTGGTATAAACAAACATAGCTGGTTTTTCTATGTTTATTTTATATTCTGTCACCTTTCTAAACTCATATCTTTAGTTTCACTTTTATTATAGAGACTGACCATTTAATCTGCAAAAATATTAGTTTCATACTTCTTTTCTAACCTGGGTGTCTTTTATTTCTTTCTCTTGCATCTTTGCATTGGCAGTAACTTCCAGTTGAATAATCCCTCATGGGAGGCTATTTACAACTTTTAATGTTGAGTAAAACACCTCAAAAATCATCTAGGATTTATGGCACTGTAACCAGAAATGATGGATTCATTAACTTAATTTAAATTGAAGTATTTGTGCCTGGTGTGGTGGCACATGCCTTTAGTCCCAGAACTTGGGAGGCAGAGGCAGGCAGATCTCTGTGAGATAATAGGCCAGCCTGGTCTACATAGTGAGTTCCAGGCCAGTTAGAGCCCGTCTCAGAAAGAGAGAGAGAGAAAGAGAATGAATTTGTGCTTATCAAACACTATTCAGTACTGAAAGGCATGCTTCCATTGGTAAAAGATACTTGAATATCTTTATCTAACCAAGGTCTTAAATCCAAAACCTTAAAAGGAATAGGCACTCTGAGAAAAAGAACAGCCAAATGCCAATAATGAAGGGTGATAAAAAGCATTATATATTAGATCAATGCAAAATAAAGCCATACTAACATATTCCATACCAGAATAAAGTTACATGGATTAAAAATGTCAAGATGAGTGTATTTTATTAATCCTAAAAGACACTGACTAATATAATGACACACTGCTAAAAGTACTAAAATTCTCAGGACAGATCCTTACATCAAAGAACTATCAGGCCAGAAGTATCAGAAGTGCTGAGACTGAGAAATTCCATGTGAAACCAAAAGAATTTTAAAGAGATAGTCATACATATACACATCTGCAATAAAAATATTTAAAAATATAAATTGGTTCAATACTTGGATATTTTCATGTTATTACTTTCTGGCTTTACAACTTTGAAGTTTTATTAACAACATTAATCACACACAGTATCTATAATGACAAAACAGAAAATCATGAGAGATAAGTTTAAATTTTGCAATGACTATGCAAACTGGTTTCCATCTACGCCATCGTACCATGGAACAAACACTAGGAAAGCCACTTACTTCTCAAAGCATCCACATTTTCATTTTTCTTTCTGTATGTCTTCTGAATGCCAATTATTCTAAAAAATACATATTTATAGTAAAAGAATATACAAAAATTTACAATTACCATGTGTTTAAAGGTACAATGTTTTTATCAACGCTGTCTTACTTGTTTTAAGACATGCTATTTAAAATTTGTACTACGTATGTTTCTACAAGATGCCTCTACACTATTAAGAGAGGGGTAATATCCACATAGTAACATGTACTTAAATTTTGAAAAAAAAATTGGGGGACCTGTGATGATCTTTTGTAATTTTAAGTCCAAAACAAGAATAAATTTGTATTCTTGTGCAAAAAAACTCAGGAGAAAAAAAAAGCTCTCATATGTAATGAGAAAAATAGTAAGCTGCCTTCCTCCTAAAATAAAAAACAAAGAAAATTAACATTAATGACACAATTATCTAAAGAAGCTACAAAAGTACACTGCTCCCAATTTCATGCATTATCAACCACTTTTCATGCTAAGACAACTCTAAGCGAAGCATTTATTTTAAGGAATTTACAGACTTCTTTTCACCTTTGATTAATACCTGCTATATTAGTCAGGGGATACAAGCCAGATGTCAGTCCATGTCAGTGCTATGAAATTGTCCACAAATACGAATTTTGTCATTTCCTATCCTATACGGTAGAACAATAGACTTTAAAGTGATAATTTCTACCAACAGTTCTTCTACCTAGACTGACAAAGATGGACCTTACCTTATAGCTTCTTTTCCTATAAATTCCGAAGAAGCAGGCTCAACAATTTCACTAAGACTAATAGTCCCATTAATGTTGCCCTCTGATAACTCCTTGTAATTTCTTTTGTTTTTTGACCAATATGATGGTTTTAAAAAGTATAAAGATGATCTCCTTAAGCCAAATTCTCCTACAAAAATTAAAAATAAGTTATTTCTGAAAGAATTTTAAACCATAAAGTCACTAAATGAATTTACTTTACTTAGTTTTAATTAATTTTAATTTTAAAAGTCATACTGACTAGTAGTTACCATGTTAGGCCTGGAATACAGACAAATGTAAGAATTCAAAAGGAAAAGGAAAGGAGGTTTTATGTATTTAATACTGTCAGTAAGAGCTGACTACATAATCATGATCAAAGATGGAGGGAAGTGGTAGGAGTCACAAGACTGCTTCACAGATCCAGATCTTAGAGGGTAAGGTACTAAAATACTTCAGTTTAAAAAGACTGACATAGTGATTGTACTGAGAAGACCAGCTAGGGACTCAAACAAATGTCTCTTGTTATATAATATCCTTACTTTTACTCATGGCTAAGACCTAAAATATCTTCCAGATATATAATAACTTAAAAGCAAATTAAGGGGCTGGAGAGATTGCTCAGCACTTAAGTGCACTAGCTGATCTTGTAGAGGACCCAGCTTAAGTTCTAAGCACCCACATGGCAGCTAACAACCATCTGTAAATCCAGTTCCAGGGAATCCAATGCCCTCTTCTGATTTACACAGGCATTGCATGACACAAGTGCACTTACATACATGCAGGCAATACATTCATACACATAAAATAAAAATAATAAATAAAATATAAAGAAATTTTAAAAAGAAAATTAAAATCTTTAACCATAAATATCACTTAAAATACTCTAGCTAGGAGAAAAAAAAAGTTAAGGTGACCCTCTGTGAGCAAAATTATTTAAAATCTTTAAAGTAAAATTCAGTGACCAACTGCATACCTGGAATGACTTGATCAAGATATACAGCCAGGAGGACATAGAATATACTATCAAGTGCTAGCATGATAATAGCAATAATTAGAGGATATGGGCCTTCAGTCAAATTAGAAAATAAAGCACCTTCATTAAAATCTTCTAAATGCATGACCTAAAAAATTGAAACACCAACTTTATTCCATAAAAAATGATTAAAACAAAACATTACTTAGCATAACTCATTCTATCCAGTGACAGCTACAAAACTTTTAAGAAATTAACAATTCATCTAATCATGTTCTCCATTCTGGGCTTCTAAAATGTGTACATATCAAATGTAATGATAAAGGAAATAAAAATTAATGCTAATAACAATTAATAAAAAAGGTTATGGAACACATGGAAGCCAAATAACTATTAGAGGATAAAATTAAGTCCACATATGTCTATTATGTCTACAATACTGAAAAGGAGAGTATTTTGATTACTGCAATTATTAAAGTACACACAGTAGATATGTGTGATCAGAGTCAAAAGAGAAACGTTCTAGAGACTAAGACCTTATTTAGGTAAGCGTTTCCATTTTGTGAATAAACTTTAATTATATCACCCTGAATTTTAGTCCTCTCCTCTGTGAAATGGAGATGAACTAAGTAATATTTAAGGGCTCTGACTTTCCCAACAAAACCGATGACTACAGTTCTACTTTCCTAAGAAAAAGGGGACTCGGTAGAATCTCCAAGTATGTAACAATTGCTCCTAAGTTTCAAGTAATTAAATCTTGTTTGGCATGAAAGTTAAAGTCAGTTGTAATTTAACCTCCTAAAACAGAATATTCTACCAAGCATAAGTAATCTTCTATAGTAAGAAGTTGTATTTTTTCTTGTACATTAATGTACATTTGTACATTAGCTGAGTTTATGTTCTACTCTATAGAAAGTTTCCTACTTGAATTTTTTCATTTAGATTCAGACTACACATATAAGGAGAAATAAAAACCAAATTTATAAATCTAAACAGTGAATATCATGGATATTTATGGCAATTTCATGGATCCTAGACCAATAAAATCTACCTACATATTTTACTACTTTACCCACAACAAATGTGTTCTATGCCATGCACAATTTTCTTCCAGCCATTCTTCTAAAATAAATTTATAAATGCTTGCAACGGAGCAATGAATATTATTTGGAACTTAAGCCAGTGACTTCTAATAAACTGAGTTTTATATGGAAATAGACGATGAAACGTAGTGAAGCAAAAGCTGAAGACCCTGCAAACAGAACACCATGCTGAACACTTCCAACTACAGGACTTGTAAGTGATGTAGATGTAGAATACACTCTACCACATTTCTTTCTCATGACATTTAAGTTTTTTACATTTTTTTCTCATGAAATTTGAGTGGGTTTTATTATGCAAATCAAACTAAAGGTGGTATTAATGGTAGTGTAAGTTGCTGCATGGAAGTGGTAAGAAGAGAAAATAGTGGTAAGAAGAGAAAGATAACTAGATTACCCACCTGTGCAATTCCAATCAAAAAGGTACACTGACAGAAGGGGCTGAAAAGCCACACTAATGATTTGGGAAAACTTTCCATGAGGACTATCAAAAGACCAACAAATCCAAATGCCACAGTGACAAAAAATTCAACTATTCCCACATGTTTTGATTTTTTAAAAAGGGGTGTCAGCATCAAAGCAAAAAATACCTACAAAATGTAAATATTAACGTTAATACAAAATTAATTAACACTGATGCAAACAAAATTAACTGATTTGTAAAAAAAAGTTATAATCAAAAGAAACTATAGCTATTAAAATACAATTATAATTTCTAAATGTTATGGTAAAATCCTTTATTTTCATACAAATAGATATACATTTAAAAAAATTTTAACTGACAAATATTAATAATTGCATTTTACCTGTAAATGTAACCTCATTCACACTACAGGAACCATAAGGAACATGTGCTGGCCTGCTCGCTCCAAGGATCTGCCTTGCCTCTGCCTCCTTCCCCTTCCTAGCCCCAAACCCACCTCCCTTGATGTTTTAGACACATATGGCTGTGCCCGGCTTGTATGTAGGTTCTGAGGATCCAAACTCAAGTCCTCACCTTTGTGTTCTAGACCCTTTACTTACTGAGTCATCTCTTCGGCCCCTCAGTAAGCTTTTAAACAAAGGACCTGTCTTTTAAACTCAATGTGTTCAAGTGATATAATACAGGTAATTGTATTTGGAAATATTTGTTGATAATTTTTTAAGGATTTACTAATTTTTACATCATGTGTATGAGAGTTTTGCCTGTATATAAGTGCACCACAAGTGCACTGTGCCAGTGGACAGGAAGTTAGAAGAGGAAGTCAGATTCCCTGGAACTGTTGTGATCTGCCACATAGGTCCTAGGAACCCAGCCCTGGTCCTCTGGGAAGAGCAAGTACTCTTTAACTGCTGAGCCATCACTCCAGGTCCACAATTTATTATTTTAAAGAATAAAAATGACAGTCACAATATTCAACATACAAAAAAATGGGCACATAAACTGATTATAATGGAACCTGGAATCATTTATAACAAAAACTAATTATATTCAGCATTTTGCCAATATACCAAATGAATATCAAGACTGCTAAAAAGCTACATTTAAAAAAAAAATCTTTAAAGCCAAGCATGGTAGCACCCACCTTTAGTCCCAGCACTAGTGAGGCAGAGGCAGGCGGATCTCTGTGAGATTAGGGTGTGGCCAGGAAGTTCCCCTGGTAAGCCCATGGTCCCACCTCCTTCCCCTGCTCTGTGGAAGGAGTCAAGCCCATTAAGGGGCGGGGATATGGAGATATAAAGCAGGAAAATCATGAGGCCACTCTCTCTCCATTTTGTGTGGCTGTTAGGAAGCCACCGGACTTATGTTTGGGTGTGGACTTTCAAGCACAGCTGTGAATGGGGTAGTGCAATTTTTGGACTAGAGCGCAGCAAAAGTCAGGGCTGTGCGGATGCCCAGTACCCATCTGGGGAGAGAGGACTTCAGACCTGTGAGAAGGCTACCTGGAGCACACTGGGAAAAAGGGGTGGAGCTGCTGCGATATTGAACATATCAAACATCTGAGCGAGAGAAGACCAGACAGATGGCACATGCATTTGGAATATGGAAAAGGAAAAGCCTATAAGAATCCATGGTTTTGTAAGTCACCCCTTCCCAAATGTCATATAAACTATGCAAACTCCAATTAGGATGCCTTATGTAGGTTTGTCATTCTGTGTCAGGACTGGGGGCAGGGTTCTCCCAACAAAAAGGGAAGAATGTAGTGAAACACACGGCCAGCCTGATCTATGTAGGAAGGGAGGGTACTATAGGAGGACCCTGTCTCAAAAAACCAAAAACAAACAAAAAATTTAAAACTAATCACTATAATACCAACTTACCTGAAAAAGTCACGATCTCATGAAAGGGGAAAATATAAAAAGAGAGTTATGGGTAAAATATAGCACACCAAAACAAGTTGGATTCAAACCTGAGATCTTATTTTAATTTTTCTGAAAGCATGGTCATATAATACTGTACCATCTACTATTAGGTTATCAGTAACAGTAAAAACGTATCTTTCATGGAAACTAAGTAACTAAAGAAGATCTTATTGTATCACCAAGGTGTTCTGACACTTCAAGCTAAAACACTTACAGATGCTGATCCATACAGGAAAAACAGAAGAAAGATCACGACGCTGCTGCTCTGAGGAAATAAGGAAGAGGCTGTGGCGATGACGGCCATGAGAAGAGACATGAGGAAAAGCAAACTTGTATACAGAAGAACCCAGGAGAGCCTAAAATGAGAATGCAAATGCATCAACAGTCAATGAACAGGCAGCATTCAGAGGATGGTGTGATAAGAATAGGAGGAAGGAATTGGCTAGGCAGTTAGGGTAAAAAGACCCCAAAGAAAAGTAGCCAGTTTCTTGGCTAAAAATCAAAATCTCCTTGGGCCTCTTAGCAACAGACTGTGTTCCAAAGGCCAAAAATGTCAAAAGTACTTGGGAGCTCTTCTCTAATCCCTAAAAGATTTTAGGGGTACCTCTTCAGAGGGGAAAACATTAGAGTATCAAAAAGCCCCACTTAAGAAAAAAAAAAAAGGGTACACGAAGTTGTTCAGGAAAAAGTGGGGAGGAGTTGGAGGGGAGGGAGTGGGCATGGATTTGATCAAAACACCTTATATGCATGTATGAAATTCTCAATAAATTTTTTTAAAGTTAAAAAAAATCATTTTAATGAAAACTTCAAACTTATTTTAAATATTTCAGTGACTGATGAATTGATGAATAATATTCACTGACTTGAGGCTAAATTTATGTTTCAACACAAAATAATAACCCATTGCATCTTAAAAATCAATCACATCTAAAACAAAAAAGAACAGTAAGAAAAGAAGATGTTCTACACAGTAATCCTACTACCTAAAGTACTATAATTGTTACATTTGGCCAAGTGGGATAAAAATTTGTAAAATGGACTTTATAACAGCAACGTACCCATACAGTATTGACCTTCCTTGTAAAAGAGCTAAAAAGTAATTTGGAGTTTTTTTTGTCTGACAGAGTCTGGCTAGGCAGTCTAAACTGACCTCAGACTTAAGATCCACTTGAGCCCAGGCCGGCATTATAGGAATAAGCCATTATAAACAGTTTAAAAGCAAAGTGTCTTATTACACAGAGGGAAGAGTAAGGAGAATGTACTTAGTTACTTATAAATATTCATGCCTCTATAAAATTAGCATTGTATGAAATAATGACACAGTTATGGTCACCTACAGATATTTTTTTTCACTTGTGTCTCTGTAAATTAAATATGCATCCTTCACCTTAATTCACCCAAATAACTAGTCTTCAAGGGGTGAAAAGAATATAAAACCTATACATTTAGACTTCAACCATTTTAATTAAAGTTACAGTATCATAGAGATGCTATATTAGGAAAGAATATGAACAGTCAACATCTCATTTCACTTCTAGTTTTTAGAGATTTCCTATGTTCAGTACAATGATATAATGAAATACTTGGCACATGCCTAATGGGTTCAAACAAAATGTGAAATAAAATCCCACACAGCTTTTCCCTTATCATAAAACAAGCCAATTAGCTGCTTAAGCTTGATGATTAGTCTCAAATTCTAAAAGAAAGGCAATCACTATAAGGAATCAGGATCAGTACTCTATCAAATTGAGTAAATAAAATTATAATGCTGAAGATCTGTATGATAGTTAATAAAATTGTTAATTACATACTAAATGATCAACTTTTAATAACATACCAAAAGGCAGTGTCATGAAGTCCCATTATCTTTAAAAATTCCTTTAACTTTTTTTCTTTTTCTGCTACAATATGAATTGCCAAAAAGTATCCAAAAGGTGAAAATGCTATAACTAGATATATTAAAATCACTCCTCGAGGAAAGGCATCTATTTCTACAACAGCAGCTTCTCCCATAATAACAGCTTTAGTTGATTCCAGCTCCTTCCAAAGAGAAACGTTTGTCTTCAACTATAATTAGAAAATGTAAATACATTAATTTAGTTCTGAAATAACCCCTAATAAAATTATATTCCTAAAATTAGTAAGTAACCTCATGCAAACAAAATACTCTAAAAGCTACACACTTGAATTAAAGTAAGCAATCATAATATCATGAATAGAATTCTTTTAATTCATTCTGAAAAAAGTTTGAAGATGGTGTGAATGAATAATTTTTATTAATTTTCCCAAGAAAATAAAATTGCACACTTTAATATCACTGTAAGCAGACTAATAAGGATCTTAATAAAAATATGCATTTCAAAGTTGAGGACCTAAATAATTAATAGTGCCATCATTTCTAGGGCTATATTAAAAAGATTCCTTTAAACAGCAATGTCTTTCTATTGCTTTAAAATTGAGACCTACAAGACATATGGACAGAATTATGCAATTAAACTATTTAGCAACTGATATTTCTGATAGTCGAGTGAATACTTAAAGTGAGATTCTCTACTACCCAGAGTGGTCTAGGCTTCCGATGATTAAAGTCTAACCAAAACACAAATTAAGTGCTATAGTTCACCAATGTGATACATTCCATATTTCACCAACTTTATCTTAAAATTTTGTCCCACTAAATTGGCCTAGTATTACATATCCCTAACAAATTTATCACATGCAAGTTGTAAGAATTTATGACAATTCTATATACATCCTTTCATTTGGTTCTTTTAAGAGTCTTGCCCCCCTCCAAAAAAAAAAGTGTTATTGTATAGTCATTTTACTACCTAGCAGTCTATTAAGTAAGAGGGATAGGACTCCTGTTTAGGTCTTAAATCCAATTTTTTCATTATTCATACATACTCTGAATGTACAGTTTAGTAAACTGCTTATATGAATTTTTGAAATGATACTTTATTATAAATTTCAGCTAAAAAGGCAAATAGAAAAAAAAATCTACAGATCCTAGAAAAAATGGAGGAATGAGGTATAATTGATTCTAATAGTTCTAATCCTAAGGCACAAAACTTAATAGTTTTAAAAATACATTTCATAGATAGTTTTTCTCCCAAATGTGAAATGTTTGATGAGGTCACATGTTTACAGTATAATTTAAGCATGTATATACAATCCTAGCAATTAAAATTTAAAAATTATTAAATATAGAGTATGGCTTGACTTTTCTTCACATTTACCTGTATAATGGCAGCATCTATGGATGCCTGTAAAACTGTGAACCCTGAGGACCAGTACTGGGCAGCCTCGCACGACTTTGAACAGCCAGCTATGGGGAGAAAAATGAGATGTAAGATTTTATGTATTATATAAGTGTTTTCTTCTAAAAATAAGACATGGAAAATTAGCAAGTGGAATAATCAATCAATTTGTACAGGACAAAGAAAATACGCAACTGCCCTTCAAAGACAAATATCTGTAATATTACTGTTTATTTGGAATGCGAAAATAAAATAACATTTGTTAGAACCAGTAAGACTGCTCAGCAGGTAAAACATGCTTGCCTCACAAGCCTGATGATCCAAGCTCTAGTCCCAAAACCCGCAAAAAGACAGGTGTGGTGCTTCTATGTGTAATCCCAGCATTCTATGGTGAGGTAACAGGTGGAGACAGGAGAACTGCCCACAAAGCTGTGGGCCAGGTCCTCTGGACTATGAACAGTGGTAGAAAGACAAGAGAGACCCTGTCTCCGCAAGGAGCAAGGAGAGAACCAACTCCTAAAAGTTTTCCTATGACTTCCATAGGCACGCTGTGGAATGGCCATGCGCACATTCACACACACACACACACACACACACACACACACACACACACACCAAATGAAACAAATGTGTTAGGATACTGTATAGTAAATGAGTAAAGATGCAAATTAATTACAAACATAGTTATTTAAAATAAGTCATTTTTCTATTTGAAGGTAAAAGCATTCCATAGTGCCTATTTCAAAGTACATCCAGATCCATGGACAAGTCCAGTTTCATAAAGAGAAATAAGAATTTTCCACATAGGCGTTTTGGAATAAAGTAAAAATTTCCACACTTAGGGGCTGAAGATATGACTCAGCAGCTAAGAGCACTGGCTTCTCTTCCAGAAGACCCAGGTTTGGTTTCCAGCATCAACATGGCAGCTAACAACATAACTCCAGTTCCAAGGAATCTGGCAACGTCTTCTGGCATCTAAGGGCTTTGCATGACACAGGTACACTTACATACATGCAAGCAAAACACTCATACACAAAAATTAAAAATCGATTTTTTAAAAATTTCATACTTAATAATGTAATGACCACAATATTGTACTATAAATATTTACAGTTGATAATGTCTCCTCATGGGTTTAAGCTGTGTTCCATGTTTCCAATGTAAACTTAGTTCACTGGTAGGAGATCTTGAGATTTTAAAAAAATTTATGCCATGCCATAGTGAAAACAATTACACTGAGGAAAAAAATATACATTTAAAAAAATCATATAAGAGACTAGAGAGATGGCTCAGAGGTTAAGAGCACTAGTTACTCTTGCAGAGGACCAGGTTCAGTTCCCAGCACCCACATGGCAGCTAACAACTGTCCAAAACTCCAGATCCAGTGAATCCAGTGCCCTCTTATGACCTCTGTGGGCACTGCATGACATGGATGCACTTACATACAGGTAGGCAATACAGTCATATACATAACATTAAAATAATAAATACAACATTTTTAAGAGAAAGTCATATAATGAAATTACAATTGCTTTATGTTACTGCAAATGACATTTACATAAGTGTATTAAAATTAAAATGACTGTTATTGATATTTTATATAACATACATAGTAAAGATAGATACACGGATGTATGTGCATACCTAAATTATTTGTTACACGTGAGTTTGTCTATCCAAACAAATAAGTATAGTAGAAAATGACAACACTGGACATCGAATTTGCATACAAAGACATGCACTTATTTAACTGACTTCAATGATTATTTAAAATTATTTACCTCTTGAATCCATATAAATAGAAGTCACCGGAATCATATCAGGAAAGAAACGGAGTTCATAGGACATAACATCTTTGAAAACCACACCTACAAAGTTGCTGGACTTAGAAAGACTGGATGCTAACATTTCTTTCTCATTTTCATATTCTTCAGTAATTATAACTACAAAATATTAGAACAATGTAATTAACTCACAAATTGAAATACTATAATAGAGTAGATTAATTTCATAATTATAATTTATGAATGGAATATTCTACAAGTACTTTTGTCGTAATCACTAACTTCTTAGAAAATGAAGATGACATCTAAGAAAATAATACAATGTATAAAATAAAAACTGTAATTTTGTAGACAAGCTGTAATGTGATTACATAAATTATGTCATTATACTATATAATTTATGACTATGTTATAGCATACTATGAAACAATATACAGAATTATATTCCATCAAAAGATTGCAATCTGAAAATCTCAATGAGCTGTAATATATTCTAAATCTATATTCTAATGCTTAATAGTTTTGAAATTATCTCTACTCTTTTTGAGGAGGGGATACTAAGGATTGAAAATAGGTCCTTGAACATGCTATCCACTCTTTTTAGAGTCTCTAAGATTTCAGGCGGAAATGAAATTATAAAAACTAATGCAGTTCAATTATTTACTTAAAATTAAATAACTTTTAATCAATGGAATTATATTTTAAGTATTTCTTCAATGAAGACAATTCTTCCAAGCATGTTCAACTTTTTGACACTGTGACAACATGATCATCTACAAGGTTCATGCCCAAGAATCACACAATCAAGTAAAAAAGAAAAAAAAAAAAAAACAACTCAGTGTTTTAAGTTATTTTGGGTTGGGCTCCAGTTAAAGCTATCCTCTAACTTAAGTGGGTCACATGTGGCCCATGGATCTACAGTTTAGAGATCCTTATTCCCTCCTCAGAAACTATGTATTTTAGCAACTATGACAAAACTCTTCAAACTCTCCTTTGAATGAAAACTGCCATTTAAACCTATTATTACTTATTCCTTTTCAGAGGATAAATGGAAAAAATACTGCAATCATTCTATCACATTAGTTAATAGACAATTTTAAAAAATATTCTCCTGTAGTTTTGTTTAAAGTAAGTTAACTTGACTACAGAAGCTCCAGAATGTTTGGTCAAAGAGACCTAGGACTGGTACTTAATTTCATCATTCATTAGCTGTGTAAGTAGAGGTCAGTGATTTAGTTCTCCAAATGTTAACGTTTTCATATATGACACCTAGCTGATCACACTGGGTAGTTGTGAATGTTTTCCAGAGGTGAACATGGAACTCAGAAATGACCATATTAAAGTGTGGTATTAGTTCAACACCCTATCAGTCATGTTATCATGTATGTTCACATATTCCATTTTTGGATAGTTCTGTTGTTAAAAAAAGAACTTTAAAAAATTTATATATATTTCCAATTTTGCATCTAAGTTGAAATACAATGGCTTGTATTTCTTTGGTTTATATACTCTTTCATCCCATCCAGCATTACCAATGAATTCATTCTCAACATTTTTATGGCTCTCTATGTTACTTGTGTTTATATGATAGACTAATAAACATATAATACATCAATAAGCTATATGGTTGATAGGAATATTAAACAGCAATAAATTAAGATATAAACCAATGGGGGAAAATTGTTTGGCTCTTATACAACTAATGCCATGTACTCTACAATGTACTATTCAATAGTATGATGATAAATACTACAAGTTAATTACAACCATCTGTATGAAATAAAACATGCTAATTTGTTACTTTACAACTCAGCATTTTGTGATTTAATCATTGCAGTGTAAACATTCCTCTCACTTTCTCCAGTTCCTGTATGACGTTCTCTCATGGCAATTAAAAACTCATTAAACATCGCTGCTTACACCATTTCCCCATCCATCTCTTTGTGATAAGTATACATGGAGAAAGACAGACTGAGCTAATAGTCATGGTCTTCAAAGTTAAATACTTCTTCATGTGATACCAGATACCTACATAAACAGATACGGCAATCTGAAAATGATTACTGCTTTGTAACCTTTATCACACATTTCTACCTTCTTAATCATGAACCAGAATCAAAATGAAATATACTTCAAGTTTTTTATGTTACACATATATCCTGAATTATTTTATAAATTACCTAAGAACTGAATATGAAATACAAATATATATATCAAGAATGTAAAATAATTTATCACAAGAAATAAGAAAACAGAATTAAATGATTTTAATATCTTGGTAGAACTACATTCTGATGGGAGAACATGCCTCTAAGTGTTAAAAATGTTACTCAGTAAATCAAGCTGGTAAAAGGCTTCAAGCTGTATCAGAACGCCTGTAAAAAACCACAATCTGGGTCTGGAGATACGGCTCAGCACTGAAGAGCACTTGATGTTCCTCCAGAGGACCCATGTTGGGTTCCCAGCACCCATGTCAAGTGGCTCACAACCCAATGTGGCTCCGGCTCCAATGGATCTGATGTTTTGAGCCTCCATGAGCACCTGTACACTCATGTGTAAACATTCAGACATTGACACACATTCACGCACACGCACAAGCATATGCATAAATAAAAAGTTTCTTTTTTCTTTTTGTTTTTGTTTTTTTAAAAAATTGACTGCGAGGGGCTAGAGAGGGTTCAGTGGTTAAGAACACCAGCTGCTCTTGCAGAAGACCCGGGTTTGATTCCCAGCAACCACATGGTAGCTAACAACTGTTTTTAACTCCAGTTCCAGAGTATCTAATGCCCTCTTCTGACCTTCACAGGCACTGCATGACACAGGTGCACCTACCTACATTCAGACTCATAATACACTCATACACATAAAATAAAAATAATAAATAAAAAAGACATATATATAAAGACCACTATACCATCAGGAAGATGATCCACAGATACTCTCTGCATGATGTTGCTTGTAATATTGGTCACTGGAGTATATCCAAGAATGAGATTAGCAAGGATAGATTTGTCCATAGGATTAAGTTCTATATCAGATACTTCTTCATATTTCTTATTTGGATGCATCATGCTAATTAATATTAGCCAAAATAAAAAAAATAATGGAAAAAGAATTTCCTAGATTAAAAGAAACCAAGTGATTACAAAGATGGATTACATCGCTTTGCTGAAATATTTAAGACTAGATTTACATAATAAATTAAACTGATATAAAGGTAATGTTTAAAAATGTCTTAATTGATGATATAAGATATAATAAATTTACTCCAAACTTTAACGTAACTTGCAACTATTACAAAAATCAATATAAAATTCCCTTGGAAAAGAGAAAAACAAACAAAAAATTTCTTAATAATACCTAAATTTATACTATTAAAACTACTCTTAATTTCATGTTCTGCTTTCCTACGGATGAACTGTTACTTGATTCTGCTGCTTAACTGCCCTGCTAGTTTTGGAGAGCGTGTTTCCACACTTATTACCAGCTGGTTAGCTGGTTCTGACTCTCTCCCACCAAAAGCACTCCATGGCAGCTCTGTGACATATGGTTTGTACTTTTTTGGCAACTGGATTCCGAGTTCAGAAAATGGGAAGATGTGGGGAATAAAATTCCGTAGTAATACTCCACAAAGTTATCTGTGAACTTATTTCATAAATGCTGAAAATATGCACGCCTAAAGTTGAAAATTAAGTGCTGATCTTAGAAACTAACTGAATTTAGTAATCATTAATAGAATTTTTAATGTTTAGAAGGATTAGTTCACTCCTTTCTTCTGGCTATTATGACAACTTTAACATACTTTTATTTCATAAGCAAATTGAAAAAAAGAAATAAAAATTATCATGAAACTTTATCCAGCAAAATTGCCTCTTAAAAACAAAACATATCAAAGAAAAATAAGCTGCAGGAAGACATAAGAGTATTTTTAACTTACCTGAACACTACTTTTTTTGGTTCTGCATTTAATTAAGTAATTTTTCAGTAAAAGTGTTCTGGTCTGTCTCCAAACGCCCACATCCCTAATCGCAGTGGCCATGTTTTCAGCACCTTAAAAGGGAGAACAAACAAACTGAACTGCACAGTGAAGCACATGCTATGTTTACCGACAATCACACACAGCTGTTTCACCCTGGGTAAGACGAAGTTAAGCAAACAGCTCGCTCTCCTTCTTGTAAAGAAGCAGCAGCAACAATCTGAAACTCTAAATGCAAAGTATGTACAAAGTGGGTAAAGATCAAAATTTGAAACAAACCAAAGCAGTAATGAGCTTGCCACTTTTTCTCCTTTGGTAGTCTTCAAACTGACACATGAGAAAGGGACAGAGAGTGCTCTGGAAGTTTACTTCTAATTCTGAGTGGAAAAGAAGTTAGTCTTAACATGCAAAGAGAATGTGGAAATACGAGTTTGCTTCTATTCCTTTCTGCTTCTTCCTATGTCGCCATGCCCCACAATGACAGTCTCAGACTAGAGTAATGAAAGCCCACTGTGGCAAAGCTCCTCGTCTTAGTGGAGCTACAGTCCAAGTGGACCAATTCCTACTCATCTCTTCTCCTATTCTTTTGTATGTTACCTCCGGGGCCAAAAGCGGCACAATGGAACTTTCTCAGTAGAAGATCAAGAGTGCAGCCACAGGGTAGGAGAAAGCAGTAGGGAGCTCAAAGAAAAAGAAGCTCAGGAATGTGCATACATGTTTTATTGCCTCTGAGATTAATTTCCAAACTAGGAACATATGAATCTCATCCTAGGTATATTAACAAAGACTAAAAGGAACCAACTAGCAGAGCAGCCACGACCCAGACCCAGTCTTGTCACTGGGCAGTATACACAAGACAAAGCCTAACTGCACTGTTAAACTTTAAAAAACTAAACTGAAGTTGCAAATAGTGCAAAGAATGTGAGTGGAAACTTAAGCCAGCACCTAATTACTCTGACAGCCTGCTGAAAAGAATCAACATTATGGAGGAATAAGAATAAAACAGCCCAAAGTCCCGAACAACCTAAAATTACTTGGTAAATCGTCAAGCAATAAATAGCCAGTTCACTATACAAAAAGATAACCATTGTCATGTTGTTTGAATTTCGCCTGGAAACCATAAAAGCATCTGCTTCCAAACTGTGATGGCACTTATAGACCAAAGAAAGACTGAAATGAGTCCAGCTCAATAAGTAGGTGAGTTTATTAGAGGCTAGTTATGGAGTGGTGGGCGCCTTATAGTCTTCACAGCTTCTACCTAACAAACCCTTGTTTTACATGGTTCTAAGTGCACAGTGGAAATGATACAAAGCTGGACTTGGAATCGACACTAAAGTGGCAGGACAGGAGAGAATTCAAGCTCAGACACAGACAAGGCTAGACTCTGAGAAAGGTGTGGACTCCACCCTTGCTCTTACTTACATTCTGCTGGTCTCAGCAAACTCTCAGACCATGGGAAGGATGGCTTTATTTGGCTTCAGTCTGACAAATGGGATAGCAAAATGGTGGTTGTTGAAAGACAGGCACTACTCTGGCTAGGATTTAAAGGCCTACACTTCCTACACACAAGTTTGTAATTATCTGATAAGAACTTTAAAATACCCGATGATTTGGAAAAACAGAGAATTGGCCCAGAAGCCTCCTCTCTACTGCCTAGCCCTCACAGTGCTGGAACATACTATCAGACTCCTGGGGTGAATTATCAATAACCTTACTCATTTATGGATCCTGCATGCAACACTACCAACTAGGCAAACAAGTACGATAATGCAACTGGTGCAATAATGGCAAGTCTGTTCCATTAGGAACCAACCACTTTCTGATAAGATTTTAGGTTTGCTTCACAAGGTTAATTCATGCCTGATATTATAAACTTGGTCAAAAGCCCATGGCTTGGGAGGTCATAAGCCCTAGTGGGGAACCTACTGCTGTTTTGCTATGTGGACATGTCAAAACTGACAGCTAAATACTTATGTTTATACACACAGATTAATGCTGCTTTCAGCATTGGTCAGAGAAGCCTCCACCTGCAGTGTGTGAGTCAATGCAGAGACTCAGAACGGATCAAAGTGCTGAGAGTAACCGATCAAAGTGCTGAGAGTAAGTGCTCAGTCCTACATGGGATCTCTCTCTCTCTCTCTCTCTCTCTCTCTCTCTCTCTCATTGGGCTGGCAGACCATCTTGGAGGAGAGGGTAGAAAGAAGGATGGGAAGGAGTGCTGTGAAACACTGTCTTCTGGACATGACATGGCTGCTGCACTGACAGTGCCAGTGGTTGGAAGCCACACCCCTCCCTGAGGGGCTAACGGAAATGAATGGCCACTACGTGTGGGGAAAGTCATATTCTTCAGTGGTGTGGCCACAGGAAGTTACCCTTCTTGAAGTCAGTAAGCCCCCACTCAAGCCCACGCAGATAACACTAATTAAATAGTGAGCCACATGCAAAAAAAAAACTTTTAAAAAAGACACAAAATTAGGAGGACCTTACTGGTAAGAAGGGGGGGGGGGGATAGGAAGATGAAGGGGGAGGAGGTGATCAAACTACAATTGGGAAGAAAATAAATTTTTTTATTTCATTATATAGCCCCAGCTGGCCTGGAACTTGGTATGTAAACCAGGCTGGCCTGGTTGAACTCAGAGATTCACCTGGCTCTGCCTCCCAAGTGCTGGGAGTAAAGACATGCACCTTGCTAACCCTTCCAGCGCAAATGGTGCTGATTTATATTATGTGCCCACCTCAAAGAGGCCACGGATGGGACTCCTTTCCAAAAGCAGGGCAGCCGGCTCCAAGTTCTGACAGACCGCATTTAGGGTGAGAAGCAAGCAACTTTTTAGAAGCAGTCTGTCTTCTGAAGAGTGAACATAAACAGTGAAAGGTTAGCTTAGGTGAGTATCCTCTTTACATGCACAGAAGGGGAAAAAAAGAACTTTTTCTAATTAATGAAATTACAACTTTTACTTTGTTTTTCCATTTTGTCATTCATAGGTAATTACTTATGCATATTAAAAAACAATTAAATAGGGCTGGGCATGGTGGCATGTACCTTTACCCCAGCACTCGGGAGGTACAGGCAGGCAGATCTCGGAGTTCAAGGCCAGCGTGGTCTACACAATGAGTTCCAGGCCAGCTGGGCTACAGGGAGACCCTGGCTCAAAAGAATAAATAAATATATAAACATCAACACAAAAGCAATCAAAAGTCAACTGATCATCAACTCTAGGCAAAAAAAGAAGAAAAAAGGAAGAAAAACACTCATTCTCATTCAAACATAATTTGCTACAAAACAAAAAATAAAAATACCAACCAACTCAACATGTACATTCAAATGCCACTAAGTTAATTCAAATTGAATGTTGAATGTTTAACATTTTACATTTAGACACCAGATCCTCCATAAAGTAGCTGGATTCAAAAACAAAATTCATTTCTTTGAACTGTCCCCTTAAAATTGAGTCTCTCATAGCCTTGTCTAAAGTTCACAAACTTACCCACCACTCCACATCTATTCAGAACTTTTAAAAACAAAACTAAATCCTACTTCCCAAATATCATCTGAACATATGCACCACCTTCTTTTCCACCACCATTACTGCCCCTGGAGTTGTACTGGTATATGTATATATATATATATTTATTATTATTTTATGTGTATGAGTGTTTTGTCTGCATGTAAGTGCACCTGTGTTGTGCAATACCTGAGGAGGTCAGAAGAGGAAGTCGGATTCCCTGGAACTGGAGTTACAGACAGTTGTTAGCTGCCATGTGGGTCCTCTGCAAGAGCAGCCAGTGCTCTTAACCACTGAGCCATCTCTCCAGCCCCTGTATTGGTGATATTTTCTCGTAGCAGCACGGAATTTTTTATTAAATGATTAAAATTAAAAGGCTGGGAAGGTTACATAACAATAAAAAGTGCCAGACGGGAAACCTTCCTTTGAGTTGTTGGCTGAGGTAATCCAAGAGACTACCAAAACTGCACAGGTTATTGCCACAGTCCTTGATTGCCTCCCAGAACTCGATGGTAATACCCTATTGCTGAAGACAGAACCTACAATGGATACAGGATTTGAAGCAACAGAGCTGGAGCTAACCTGGAAGCCACCTCCTATGAAGGCTAGCTTTCATAGCTTCAGAGAACATCAATCAATGGTCCAACCCCAGCTCCAAGGCCTAAAAACCACAACAATCACCAGCATAGCAAAAGACATTGGTGCAGTAGCAGCACTTTTATCATGGGGGTAATCAATAATTGGACTTAAAACCCTGTGTCCCCAGGAGCCTGGTTCCTCTGAGGGGTGGGGACTGCTGCAGAGAATTGACTACGTTGAGTTAGCCAAGGAGGGAGGGGCTTTTGGCACCATCTTGCATAGAAGCAGCACAGAAAGGAATGGCCCAGTGTCTCAACCGCGTAGACCCGAGATGGGGAATTTACCAACTTGGGGTAAGACCACGCACCCACAAGGTGTGGGCAAAAGCTAACAGTGACTGTGGGCAGGGCATAGAAGAAATCTGGACCGGTGGGCCCCACGGAAGGGGGTGCAGGGTGTTCACCTTGGTATGGAGCACTGGGTGTTTTCCTTTTTAAGTTCCTCTATTCCCCCTCCCCAGGATATAAACTATGAAAAAATTCAGATAAAGATGTGCTATGTGGCTTGTCTACCTGCACCAGGAGCAAAGGACCCTAAGAAAACTTGGGAGACAAGCCCACTCAATGGGAGGCACTGTAAAGCTAGCCAAATACACATGGCTGAAGAGGTCACAGATCTTAGAGAGAACCCCAAGGTGCTCACATCCCTAGACAAATGTAATTTCTTACTATGTGCAAAATATGAATCCTTAAATTTATAGATAAGTATTCCAGTCACCACCTATCAAAGAAGCTTCTTTCTCAAGAGACAGAGATAATTACAAAGTTCCACAACTAGTCATACACAGAGATTGTCTGTGAATGGCCCAAGCATAAGTGGCACATCCAGGATGCAACCTCTGCACCTAAGGCTCATAGAACATAGAATAAAGGATGAAGAGAACACTAATGCATCTTTCAATTCTCATCAATGAAGGTCCATCATGCAACAGAGGGCCATGAACACTAAAGATCACAAATGCCCAAAACACAGAGAATAAGCATCTGCAAAGTGTGGGTCCTTGGACAGGTCTTCTATATTAAAATCCACCAACCCAGGGTTCAGGAACCATTGCAGAAGATGGGGTGGAAAGATTGTAAGAGCCAGGGAAGAGGTGTATGACCACATGGAAATAGTCCTACAGGCTCCTGGGACTTTTCTCATACAAACCTACAGCAATGGTATCAGCATGCACAAGACCCATGCAAACGTAGGCAGACAAAAGCCCAGCAAAGAACTGTGGAAATGAACAGGGGCCACAATCCTAGTGGGAGAATTTATTGGCAGCTGATTACTGCTGGGTAAGGAAGAACTGATTTTCTTAAAGGGAGGGACTCTAGATAGTCTAGATAGACTCTTGCACTGAGGGACATCTGGGACTCTAACTTTACATGATAGGTCTTTACACAAATGACGGGATGTATGAACTCGAGTGAGGGAGGTATGTGAGGGGCCAAAGGGGAAGGCCATAAAGATGATTTTCTGTAATGAAATATACAAAAATTCAATTAAAAATGATTTTAAAGACTGGGAACCATGGGAACTGAACTTATCTTTAACATTTATGAAAATACACTTTCTGCTATTACGCTTTCTCTGAATGGCAAATACTTAATATGCTCAAACTTGATTTTCCTTCTCTGCAGTAGTTTCTCCCCATATATTTTCATGTTTCACTAAGCTAGCCAGATTTTCTTATGACTAAGAGTATCTTAACCAAAATCAACAAATACAGGAATTACTACTGTTTGAAATGGTATAAGTAATTAATGCTGGATAGCTTTAGTTGTCAACTTGACACATGGATTGAGGGAACCTCAATTGGTGAACTGCCTCCATTGGACTGGCTGTAGCCATGGCTGTGGGGCATCTTCTTGAGTGATGTGGGAGGGCCCAGCCCACTGTGGGTGGTGCCACCCCTGTGCAGGTGGGCCTATGTTGTATAAGAAAGCAGGCTGAACAGGGGCCAGGGGAGCAAGCCAATAAGCAGCGTTCCTCCATGGCCTGTGTTTCAGCTCCTGCCTCCAGGTTCCTGCCCTGAGTTCCTACCTTGGGCTCCCAGATGAACTGTGACTCAGAAGAGGAAAGGCAAATAAACCCTTTCCTCCCCAAGTTGGTGTTGGTCAGAGTGTTTTGTCACAGCAATTGAAAAGAAACTAGAACAGTAATTAAGAATGTGACCTCTGGAATCAAACTAACATGAATCCTGCCTCTGCCATTTCACAAGCTATTTAGTTTTCTGTCTCTAAACTTCGTCATCTGTAATATCACAATACCTACCTTCAGTTCTTAAAGTGACTAAGTGAATTAATACATGTAAAACTGAAGATGGTACCAATGGGAATGGTTTTTCTGGGAATCACAAATTGAACCTTTAACCAAGTTAATAAAATGATTTGAGATCACTTAGAACTATGTATTCAATCTGTTTTCTTACTGTGCACTCAGCTTGTTTAAATTTAACTAGCCTTCAAGAAAAGCATAGGTGCTAGAGAGATGACTCAGCAGTTAAGAGCACTGGTTGCTTTTGCAGAAGATCCAGGTTCAAACCTGGATCAAACCAGCACCTACATGGCAGCTAACAACCGTCCCTAATTCCAGTCCCAGGGGATCAGATGCACTCTTTTGTCCTCCATGAGCACTGCACAATATGGATGCATTTACATATATGCAGGCCTAACACTAATACACATAAAACAAAAATAAATTTTAAAACAATTTAAAAAAAGAAAATACTATGTTTTAGTTTCCCAATGCAATTAACTCTCATGAGCTAAGATGAATGCATAGCTTTTATCTTATACCATGTTCCCTATTTCTCCCTCAGGACCCTCCCATGCCCCTGACTCGGAACAATATATATGTACCTAAGATGTGGTAATCAGGCCTTCTCCACAAATGCTGATAATAGCACACAGGCAAAAGTTGACGGCATCTGTGCTTTTGTATGCTATTTTGGGTCAAAGGGTCAGAAAAATAACTTCTTCCTTGTAAACTCTAAAGATTCTTTTTCGTTATTTTTTAAATTTTATGTGATTGAGTATTGCCTGAATGCATATGTGTGCCCGCCCATGTAATGCCTATGAAAGTGAGAAGGGGGCATCATACCCTCTAGAACTAGAGTTGTTAGTGGCCATGTGGGAACAGAACTGGGGTGCTCTGTAAGAGATCGCTGAGCCATCTCGCCAGGCCCTAGTTATAAATTCTTTAAGACAAAGTTCCTCATCCCTGTCCTATACCATGATTGATATGCTTAATAAATATGAAGGAAGCCCTTTGCTCAAGACAATTCTGGCGATGTAGAGATGGGTTAGCAGCTTTTGCAGAAGATCCAGGTTCAAACCTGGATCAAACCAGCACTAACAACTACATGGCAGCTAACAACTATCCCTAACTCCAGATCCAAGGAATCTGATGCCCTCTTCTGGCCTCCTCATGCATGCATACATATGATGCACTTAACATACATGCAGACAAAACACATAAAAATATACAAATTAAAAAAAAAAAAAAGGAGAACAGTTCTGAGAGAAATCAGAAGGAACAGTTCTGAGAACAGATCAGGCTCACTCATGGTTAAACAACTCCAGGAGTCAGACTTTTTTATGTAGCATCACCTGGTACAGGGCAAGTAATTATAAATGCTGATCATTACTGTATATAAAAGTATTATTACTAATATTCACAGAGGAATTATAGAAAATGTTTTCATGGAAAAACAGTC